TTTGCGGATCTTTATTCATTTAATTCCTTCCCCCCCTCTGCTGTTAGTCTTTTTGGTTGTATATATTTTGCACTGACAAGGAAGAGCGCTTAAGTTAAAATACAATGGGGGCATATGTGCATCTCCCTCCGCCCCCCACCGTGGCTATGTGTATGTTTCAGACTATTCGCTTGGAATTTTTTGTTTTGAACCATGTCTTCCATCTCATCCTTGACGATCGAAGAGTGCAAGGCCTTTAATATACAGCAAGTTGCATGGAAAAAAAAAACAACGTAATTTAAACTTTTGAGTTTTGCATGTTCGCTTTTGTGCTTATAGCCTTCTAAAAGGGTTTGTTTCATGGAGTAAGTTAAGGTAGTTGTGGAGTTCAGTGAACCAAATAACCAACCGGAGGTTTAGGTGAAAGCTTGCTGAGTATGTGTGTGTGTGTGTGTGTGGGGGGGGATGTAGAGAGAAATCCAGGTTGGAACTGTTGAGAAAGGGATGGGGGTGAAGGAAGAGAGGTGATTGTTCTGAGGACTGTTTCTTGTACATTTTGGTGTTACTGAATCTCCATCTAGTAAGATGTATTCTAGCGTTAGGTTAAGTTTTTTCCTTCATAGACCCAGGACTTTTCTCCATTTCCTTCTGAGTTTGGAAGTGAAATAGAAACGTTCCCAGACTAAACCGGTAGTCCATGCTTTTCTCTGACACTTAAGATAATTAAACCCTTTAAAAAGTTAAGGTATTGGATTGACTTAACGATTTGCTAGAAACCAGTTGCTCTTTAGCCTTGTGGAATAATGAAATGAGATTAAAATAATTTTGTAGAAGATGGCAAATTAGCAAAATGATTTCTGTGCCAAGTCTTTGGGTTCTGAAGGATAAGGTGAAGGGAGGCAGAACAGGCTTCCTTTGACTCTTCAGCAGTATTCATTTCGGTCTCTCTCCTCTCTGGAGTCAGTGTCCCTCCTGGTAACGAATGCAAAGAAATGGGTGTTGTGTTTGCTGTGTCTGCGCTTTGGTGATAGGGTTCAAATGAATCATTACTCCTCACCCAGGCTGTAATGTTACCGAGGTTTGCTCTGCGCTCTATGTTTCATGGTAGTTTAATCTTATTAACTCTTCTATGGGCTTTTTTGTACACCTAAAGGAAAATCCTCTAACTTTTGGTATTTTTCTGGTAGGTCTTGTTTGCATGCAAGGCTCTTCCTGTATCCGAGGGGAAGGGAAACTGGAAAGGAAGTTTGGAACCATCAGTACATTGATACGGGGTAGAATGTACACCTTCTACGTCGCATACCTGGAATATTTTTTGATTTTAATGCCATATGAAATTGGGGGCTAACCTTTTTCCACTTGGTACTCTCAGTGGTGGTGGCGTGTGTGAGCAGTACTAGCCTGTTAGTATCATACCCACTGTGGATACCATCTCTGTGTTTATGGAAGTAAACATGAGCAGAACTCAGTTTTAATTGGAATGTTTTCTTTTTCTAGGAGCTGGAGGAGGGAACGATATTCAGTGGTGTTTTTCTCAGGTGAAAGGAGCAGTAGATGATGATGTAGCAGAAGGTAAGGAAGCATTTTATAATGCAAAACTTGAATATAGACTCTTTTCTAAATCTTCATTACTCAAAGGACTTTTTCGAAGTTGTATGATAGCTTAAGAACATTCTGTGTTTATTATCCAGGAAACAGAAAAATGGTGTTAAAAAGTCATCTTTCTGAAAAATAGTCTTAAATCTCTTAATTATTTCTTGTTCTATTATTTTTTCCCTGAATTTAAAGGAGTAATAGATGATGTATATAAAACTGACACAAGGTGGCTCTGAGGGCCACATATGATTTCTTTGATAGATGACTTTTATGTACAAATAAATGGTGATGCATTTTCATGTTCAGACATGAGTTTTAGGTGATTACGTTGAAATGGGTGCTATCAGCTTTTATCTTAGAACATTCTTGACAGCACTTTTTTTGTTTGTTTGTTTGTTTTTTGGAGAGATTTTTGCTGTAAGGCACAGGCACTCCCCAGAGAGACAGAAGCGAGAAATCACTAGGGGGTAGCGGGGATGGCCACAGTCCCTTCTCCATTCTCTCGGGATCTTGGGCATGCACACACACGCACCCAGCATGAGTTTAAGCCACCTGGTCTGGGACTTGAACCATGGTTGGCTACGTGGCAGTCCAGCGACAGCCATTACTCCAACTGCTGGTCCCAGCACTCTTTTATTTTTATGGGAAGATTTTTTAGCTTCTTTTGAACTTGTCTACTTTGGGACTGTGGTATTGATTGGCATTTTATGCAGACACACTAGCTCAAATTACTTTATTGTCTAGTAGGAATTATTTAGATGCATAAGAAAATAACAGTTCTCTGAACTTGGCTTCTGGGGAATTATACGTTTGTGCAGTTAGAAACTGTGTTTGATTATTTGAAGTACTTAAGTCTAGTTTTCTTCTAAAATTGGTTTATTAATATATTTCACAAAATTTTCTAAGCTTTGAAACTCCAAGGTTTTGTATTCATTTAAGATGGTGTTGGCAGTGGAGTTACTATTTCCTGTAATGTAGCTGCATTGTTTCATTGTTTATATTTAAATATTATTTAAAGTTTGAATTTTAATAATGTCCCCATATCTTGAATGACAGTAGGAATTTTCCAAGCAAAACTGATACAAATTACAAAATGTACTTTGGATTTTTAAAGAATTGGTCTGGTGAAAATTTATAAGGCTTTCTTCTCTAGATTATAGTGTCTTCATATTAAGATAATTTTCTGACCTACAGTCTATAAAATAAGAGTACAGTTTGTTTTGAGGATTCTTCCAGGTGGTGGTAGGATGCTTTGTGTTGAGGCAGCTAAATGCTGTGTGGCTGTCCTAATGAGGTGTATAATCAGTGTGGAGAATCCTATGGGAAGCCACCTGTGTACATTATATTTGTCATATTTTACAGAGCGCTCGTGTTTCTTTTCTGTTGGATTCCCACCCATTTTTCTGATGAGAGAGATTTACAGAAGTTAGGAAACTCACTCGTGGTCACACAGCGTGTGGAGTATGGTTTTCTGGTGAAGCTTGTGGTGTTTGACTTGTTTAAGAAATAAATCCTAAATTCAAGGGAGGAGTTGTGTATTACTCATTGTTACTCTATTACCTGTTGAATAGTAGGCACTCAAATACTGGAACATTTTTGCTATTGTGTAATACTCGCCAAGTTATGAAAGTGCTGTATACTTGGGAAACATTGCTTGTTTGAATTCCATTTACTTCCTTTACCAGAGGTATCCTAAATGCTAAGTATTGGCAGTACATAGTGTCTAAAACATAGACCCTGCCCTTGAGGAGATCATAGTTTGCTTATTAAATGTGAGTCAGAAGGACCATGTGTTTTATTTAATCAGAAAAAAATGTCAGTGCTTGAAACTGAACATTCATTACTTAATGAACCAAATGATAATTTGTGCTGTTTATGGTGGGTCAGTTGTTGTTTTTTGCTAATAACTTAGTAGCTACATTTTGCCACTGGTTCACTGAGCCATTCTCTTTAGAGTTTTTGAAGGTATTTAACATCTAGTACATTCCTTGCATCTTGAAATGCCGACTTGGAATATATAGTTTAGTAAAAACATGATTTGTTCTATACATATGTCCTTGCAAATGTGTTAAATATAAAAAGCTTTTCAATTTTAAAACTGCCCTGCTTAAGTTTGGGTGTTTATGCATGTTATAGTTTGTGCATCATTGTCTGTTATGTTTATTTTACTAAAGGAAGATAGGGCTTTTGAAGTAAAATAGGGTTATTAATGCATTTTCCTTTTAGTTTTAGACTTTAATCTCTAGACAGGTTATGTCTTATTCAGTCCTTAATCTGCTTGTTTTCTTTTGATGGTACATTTCAATCTCTTTCCCGTCAAAGGTTTCAAATTGTCTGCCTCTGCTCTTCTGCATGCTGTCAGCTGCCAGGACATACCATTTCTACTCTAATGCTTTAATCTCTCCATACCCACTTTCACTCTGTGCAGGTTTGCACTCATTGGATCGCAGGAATTTCCTAAGTGATTCCCTGCTTCTTCCTAAATTTGCTTCTGTGTTTCTTTTCAGTTAGTCTCACTTTTGCCCTTTTCCTCAGAAACCTCAGTGGGTCACTGTGTCCACTTGGATTAGGAATTAAAGTCTAACATTTCAGCTTTTCTCCAGTATGACCTCTACTGTTCTAAGATTATTCGCTACTATGACTAACCATCTAGCTAAATGGTTACTATTTTTCAAAGGAGTCCTATACATTTTTCTAGTCTTAAGTATTCGTTGTTCTTCATTGGCATGCTTGGCGCTTCTCCCACAGCTCTTCTCTTACCAGAATCCTACTCATGCTTCAAGTGGTGCCTATAACCCCTTTGCTTAATTACTTCTTTTGGAAATATTTATTTTAAAAAATCTTCCTTTAGAACATTTTGTTAGATAGGTACCCTAAACCTGTGCTGTTACACAGTAAGCTTTGTGCAGGTCTGCTTTATCTTTGTGCAGGACATCATATATAAACTGCTGTGCCTAGAGCAGTGCTTGGCATACAGTAGGTGTTGAATAGAAATGTTACGATTATTAATAGGCTTTGGAAGGGGAAGAGAATGTGAAATTTGGGACAATTGACATGTACTTCTGATGCTTAGGTGATTAACATGTCAGATTTTCTAACTGCGTCGATGATACATAGTTACACACTACAAAGAAGTTCGGAGACCTGGGGTTTTTACCCTAACTCAGTACAAATGTATATGTCACTTTGGATAAGTACTCCTCTGAATTCTTACAAACTTGGCCATAAAAGGACAGGGCTAGATTAGGTCGTTTCTGCTGTTCCTTGTATTTTAATCTGGTTATTTCCTAAAGATGTCTTAGGGAAAAACAGCTTAATTTAGTTGATAAGTTAAATTGCTTGTGATATTGGAGTTTCTGGGGGCCTAAATTTAAACTAAATCTTGGCTGGATTTAGTTACTCCAGGCTAGAACTTTTCATCAAGACAGCACTTGACTTTGGACTGGATACTCACTCACTGTTACTTGGACCACGTGCCTCTCCCAGGACATTTACAATGTATGTTGGGCTACTTATTCTCTATAGGTCTTCAGACAAGGGTGGTTTACCTTTGATAGAGATCTATATCTGGGAGGAGAGGGAGGCACTGAGATCTCTGTCATGCCAGTATTCTCATGTCATGTAGTTTTCATTTAATCTTTATAGTAGTAGTAATAATAATACTTCAAATGTTTGCTCTCTTGTTCTTTGCCAGTGGGCATGTGCATTTACTGCATAGACAGAGAGGAGTGAGGAGGCATCCCTATGGGGATGGTCACACGTTTTTTCTTCCTTTCCAGATTTTGGGCATGTACACATATATGTGCCTGGCATGATTTTCAAGCCTCCAGGTCCAGGAAATCAAACCACTCAGTTGGTCATGTGAGAATCCAGCTGCCTTAATCACTATGCCACCAGCTAGGTCAATTTTTTCTTTATTGACTACTTTCTGTCAGGCGACAGTAGGTAAAAGTACAGACTCAGTGCTATGCTGCTTGGTTGTAGTCCTGCTCAGTCGCTTTCTAGCTTTGTCATCTTGGGCAGGTTAGTTCATCTCTGTGTCTTTTTCCCTGCCTATAATATGAGGATAACAATAAAACTAGTTTTATGGTGTTGCTTTGATGGTTAAATAAATAAATTTATATACGTAAAACAGAGCAGTGCCCAGCACGAGAAGAGCCTTATGAGGGTTTAGCTATTATTATTACTTGACCATTTATAGCAAGTAAGGGAGATTCACTGGAAAATGAGGAAACTGAGGAATTGTCTTTAAAGACTACTAAAATTTTCTCAGCCAAAGTGAAGGAAATAATATGTATATGTATTTTGTGCATATGCTTTGATTACACTATTAATAACGTTTTTAAAAAACTGGGGTCAACAAGTGGCTTGGTGGTCGAAGCGCTGGACTCCCACATGGCCAACTGCAGTGTGAGTCCCAGACTTGGCAGCTTGCTTTCTCACTTCTTCCCTCCCTGCCTGCCTCCCTCCCTCCGTCCTCCTTTTTTCCCTCTCTCTCTGTTTCTTTTTTTTTTTATTTTGGAGAGGTTTTCGCTATAGGGCGCGTGCGCTCGCCAGACAGACAGAGACATAGAGACAGAAAGCGAGAAATCACCCCCCAGGGGGGATGGTCACGCCGCAGTCCCTTCTCCTCCGTTCTCCTCTCGGGATCTTGGGCATGCACGCACACGCGCCCGGCGTGAGATTTAAGCCACCGGGTCCGAGATGCGAACCGCGGTCGACTACGTGGGAGTCCAGCGACATAGCCATTACGCTAACTGCTGGTTCCCTCTCTCTGTTTCTTACATGTGCCCTGAAGCAAATTTAAAAATAATAAGTAAAATTAAATAAATAAATCTTTTAAAAAAGCATTTAAAACTAAGCTGTAGGTTTAGAGACAAAACTAGAAAAACTTAAAGAAAAATTATAAATTACAATAAAAGCCAGTATATTGGTGACCTCTGAGTTGGTTGGGGCGTGATTGGGAGGGCTAAAGA